TCCAAATAGTTGGAGAGCACTATTGGATCACCAAAAACGGACTTCAAACGGCTTAGATATAGCCAAAATAGTTAGACAGTTTAGATCGGCAAAATCTGAAACTTCTGGAAGCACCAGATAATTTCTCCGGATCAAGTGACATTAGCGTGATGTCTGCAGCTTGGCGGCACGACTTGGCTTAGTTTGTAGCTTGGCGGTGCGGCTCCTATCTGCGGCATGACTCTGCTCGGCTCTAATGGCTTGGCAAAAAAGAATAATTTGAATTGCTGTTGCCGAGTTTTGAACCTTGGCTCGTGTGATTCAGAAGTAAGAGTTAACCACTTTGCCAAACAATTTCCTTTGGTCTTATATCTCAAGTTATATTATTTAACTTCACTCTTCTTCACTCTGTCTCAGTCATCTTCTTTCTCTGGCTCACACGTTTGGTGCGTGTAGGCATCTAGGAGCGTAAGAACAATGTCAACTAGAGTGTGTGGCGCGTGTAGGATCCTCCTGGCTTGGTTTTTGACGCAGTTTTTTTGAGTGTGATCGTCTTGATGAAACCTATACACTGGTGTGATCAAAAGTTGATTTCAACAACTTTGATTTTTAGGGAAGATTTGAAACGATGCTCTATTCTTGAAAATTGGCAGAATGTTTGTAAATTCAAGCTACCTTCAGCTCTGATACCACTATTGGTGGGAATGGAGTGGAAACCACTTATGGTGGTTCACAAAAAACAAATACAAGAGAGTGAATTTACAATCTAAAAATAGATTTTTTATCACTCAAATATTTAGAATACACTGAAGAGAAGAAACACACTCTTACTTTCTAACTCTCTTCTTTCTACCACACACTTACCACTCCGATACATTAGCTATTTATAGACAAACATGACAGTGTAAACTCATTTAATGCAAATACAACTAAAACTAGAAATTTCGAAGATAGCAGCCATTATTGAACTTTGAATTCAGCTTCCATGCTCCTACTATCAACTAGGCTAGTGGAAAAACTTTCATTATAGGTTGGCGGTGAAGCAAGATTACATCACAACAGCACTTTAGGCATAATTAAAAGCATAACAATAGAAACTTCACACAGCTTATGAAGCATGCTTTCTAGTCCTGCCATAAGATGTATATTTACATCAATCATACTAATATTTTAATCGCTAAAAGATTCAAAAAAAAATATTTAATTTAAAAATGCTTTAAGAACCATACTTTCTTATGAATTTTCTTAAAGAACCAACGTGGAACTAAAAAAATTGTGATGTCAATACTTTGAATAATAATAATATATTTGTTTAAAAAAGAGTATATGTGCTTCTATATCAACAAACTGTTGGTATTTTTTCATAGTAATACTATAAAAATATATAAAACAAATTAAATAGAAATAACAAAACAATTTTATTTTTTTTTATATTAAAGGATGATATAAAGAATAAATGACACTACTAAATACAGAAATAAATTAGATTACATTACTAAAAGAACAAATTATTAACATGGATGACTAAATATTAGAACTCGTCGAGGTAAACTAATTTCTGAAAAATTAAAGAACAAATAATAAGAAAAGAAGCAAACCGAAGCCTGTGTGATACCACAGTTTCCTTAAAATAGATTCACCGCCTCTTGATGGGTGCTGGAGGTATGCCGGTGTCTACCTCCCAAGATACAATGGTCGAAACCAGCTAATGCAGAAGCACCTTCTGAAAACTACAACAAAAGTAACCTATGGTGACAAAAAGTAATGAAGAAAATAAATTTTGTCACTAAAAAAGAGTAATTCATGACAAATTATAAACTTTTGTCACATATAATAAAAAAATAAAAATAATTAGTGACGAAATTTATTTTCGTCAATAAATATTTCTTTTTAGGTGAGGAAAAATTAAATTTTGTCATCGAAGGTTTTCCCGCTAAATTTTTTTGATGGCACCAAAATTTTGAGACTTTTGATGAGAAAAAAATTTGTCATCAATTATAAAATTTTTAGTGAGGAATATATTTTCGTCACCAATAATTTTACATTTTTTTTTAAAAAAAAACTTGATGAATTGATTTGGTATAAACTATCACATTTTTTATTTATTATTTTTTTTTTTCGAAATACCCTTGATAAATACTCTTAAAATTCTCTTAAATTCAACCGATTCAATTAACTGTTATAATTATCAAATCCAACTCTTTCAAATACTACTAAGCCTCCGTTTGGGAAGTGGGTTGGCTTTTTGGCTTTTTAACTTTTTTGGCTATTTTAGCCTGGGCTTAAAAGCTTGGTTTGGAAAGGACTTTTTGGCTTTTTGATTTTTTTGAGTTTTTTTGTGAGAGAATAATGTAATGATTATGGGTTGGATGTGATGTTTTGTTTGTTATGACTAAAGTAGCCTATTTTGTTTTTTGTGGCTAAAATAACTAAAAAAGCCTGCAAACCCACTTGTCAAACACAGGCTAACTGTTATTTTAAATTTTAGACATGCCCTCTAGTATTTATTTATATTAGATTAGAATAAAGATGTTCATTCTAAGCATGTAATGGGAGAGATGATCTAAAAACCAGTAAAATATGAGAAAGTAGAGAAGTACCTGTAATGGGTGACTTTGATGTGTCGTCAACGCATTCAGTTTCATGATCACTGCTGTTATCCTTCAGTCTACAATACTTGCTTTGCTCTTCACAGATCCCACATGTCGGTTTGGACCATTTCAATGTAAGCTCATATGGCTGCTGGTCAAATATGCCATATGGAATTGGCGATGAAATCTTAAACGACATCTTTTTGCAAGACAATAAGGGATAATCGGACATAAAATAGTCCGACCGAAAGGCATAAACTTTGTGATTGGGGTCACTACTAAGACAAGTGATCGGATTGTATGAGATTGGCTTTGTTGAGGAGCAACTGAAAAAGCTATAATTAGAGTTTTCATTCGTTGCTAGTTGGAAGGGAGAGGTAGCAGTAGATAAGTTGAGGTTTTGAAGCAGTTGAGGAAAGCAGTCATGAGGAGGGTCATATGTGTGTATCAACTGAGATATGTACACTACAAGAATTTACATATTTTGCGATCACTTTTGCCGACTAAAAAAATTTTGGTCGCAAAAAATTTGTCATTTGGCGACCAAATATTAATTAGTCGCGAATGATCATTAATTTTGACGACCAAATATTATTGGTCGCAGAAGGTTATATTTTGGCGACTAAAAAATAAGTTGGTCGCAGAAAGTGGTATGCTTTTGCCGACCAACTACAAATTTAGTCGCGGAAGGTTACATATTTTTTGGCGACCAAAAATTTGGTCGCCAAAAACTTATTTTCAGCAACAAAAAATAATTAGTCGCCAAATTATATTTTTAGCGATTAATATTTTAGTCGCCGTTGATTGAGATTTGGCGACTAAAAAAATTTGTCGGCGAAGGTACCTTTTCTGCGACTAATATTGTTTTTTGGTCGCCAAAAGTTTGGGAGGGAAATTTGAAACATGGAGGGGGGGAATGAAAATTTTTTGCGACAAAAAAAAAATTGGTCGCCATTTATAAAACGACGTCGTTTTGTACTAGGAAAACAGAAAAAAATAAAATAAAAAAGGCTCGTCTCTCCTCTCTGTCTCCAGCTCGCTCTCTGTCTCTCTATATGTTGATCCACCCTCTCCCTCTCTCTGTATTCTCTCTGTCAATCTTGTACAAATTTGTATATGAACTTGTTGTTCAGTTCTTCCCGAGTCTTCAATGGCTTCTCTTGTCCAGAAACTACTCACAAAGCAATCTGTCAAATATATTATCCCTACTTTTAATAAACTACATCCCCCAAATCTCATACCTCCTCTCTTCACTCTTCCCCATCTCACCGAACCCAAACTACTCATAATTATGCGATGTTTGATTATGACCCATTGTATTTTTTTTTTAGTTATGTGACTTGAAAGTAATTTAGTTATGATATTTGTGGTATTATTAGTTGTATATGATATACCTTAAGTGATTTAATTATGACATTTGTGTATGTCTATGCCCGAGTAAACATAGGACGCAACGTTGTCATCATATGCTGATTCTGGATTTGCAGTAGTATGTTACATTGTTGGGTTAATAAGGGATAAGAATTGTTCACTTAATATATTTGTGACTTTTTATTGATTGGTGGCATTATGTAAGGTAATGTTATTGTTATATTATTTCTTTCCATAGTTGATGGAGCTAGCAAGATGTTATTGTGATTTAGATTAAGGTCTAATTTATTGTTCTGATTAACCTAGGGTTTCACATTTTTAAAATTTCTTCGGTTTTACTCTGAAGAATCAATGAATTTAGGAATATGCTTTTGGTGAGAAAAAAATTGATCACTAATTATAAAATTATTTATGAGGAATATGCTTTCGTTACCAAATTTTTTTAATATTTTTGAGATCTTTTGGTGAGAAAATAATATTGTCACTAATTTTGGTGGGAAATTTTTGATGTATTAAGCGGCAATGAAAAAAAAAAGGGTTTTAATTTTTTTATCCCTTTTATGCTTATCCACTACTACAAAATTGGGTTTTTACAGTTTCATATCAACGATATACAATAAATGCAAGTTGTGGTTTCTTAGTTTTACGACTTGCTTTTTTGCATATCGTAAATAATTAATTTCTCAACCACAACGTGTGTATTGCGTAGGTTGTAAATGTTAATAATGATAATTTTTTTACGACTTGCAATGTTAGTCGTAAATAATAAAAAAAATTATGACGTGCATATGACATGCCGTTAATTCATCAACTATACACAACACTCATATACAAATTGATAAAAATATTAAATATTTCATAATGCACAAAAAACTAACCATAAAAAATTATACTTTTTACGATGCACAAAAAAAAATTAACCGTTTAAAATATTACACTTTTCATAATACACAATGCTATTCTAAAAGATGTGGCTAAAAAAAATAGCGCCAAAATAAAAATTTGAGAGTGTCGAACACTACCTAGCATTAGAACTCTCTGTCTTTCCGTATGTCTCTCTCTCTCTCTCTCTCTCTCCATAGCTTTCGTCTCTCTCACTCTCTCTCTCCATCATTTTTTCTTTGTTTCTTCTCTAGAATGACCATCACTACAACTACAAACCCTAGATTCTCCACCGCCTGCTTCTCCAACCTCGACCTTCTTTCTGGCCAAACCCTCACCTCCGACATTTGGCAAAGATCAGTCCCAGCTGGAGTGCTCCATCTCTATCTCACCCTCTCTCCGTCTCTATCTCCATCTCTGCCTCACCTTCGCTCTCAATCTCTGTCTCACCATCTCTTTCCACCTCGATCTATCCTTTGAAACCGTCCCAAACTCTAATTAAAACCCTCATAAACCGAAACCCCAATTCAAACCCTTGATGAGTTCTATATATGGCGATCAGATGATGAGTTTTATGTATGGCAATCCACTCTCACAACCGATAATGAGTTCTCTGCTTTATCAGCTAAAATTTTAAAACAAATAATGATTGATGAAGGGTTTAAATAGTCATCTAGAAGGCCCTAATTTGTTGGGGTTCAAGATCAATTCCAAGGGTTGGTTGATTTTTGATGACCACGACAGTAATATGGCATCATTTATTTCTTGATCAGCTCAGGTTAGTTTAGTTGGTCTACATTTTTTGCATTTCACTGGAATTAGATTTCAGATTGTATCAAAAATAAAGCTTTTATAGCTTCCTCTAGATATCTATCTTCCTTTTAGTCATGCGCGTATATAATTATGAATAAATCTGCAACACAGATATCAATTTTGTAGAATTTGACACAAACTGTATATGAATGAATAAGATTTTTCATAAATAGAGTCCCATAAGATTTTTCATCTTAAGAGTCGTATGTTCTTTGCTGGAATATGGACTGTCACTTGAGAGTTGAGTTGCTTTCTATTATGGATTTTAAAGAGGGGAAGCTTCCTATGAGGTATTTGGGGGTTCCTCTTGTCTCTACTAAGTTGTGTAAAATAGATTCTGATAAATTGGTTGCTAGGATTACTAAGAGGATTCAATCGTGGGCTAATAAAGTGTTGTCGCATGCTGGTAGAGCCCAATTGATTAAAAGAATTTGTATTAATAGAATTCTTAATTTTAATATATAATAGAATTTGTATTTGTTCAATTCATTTCTTAATGGGTTTGAATTTTGTTTTTGTTTTTTTTATATAAACAAATCTTTGGGTTTAGTTTGATTGTTGGATTAAAAAAATGTCAATTGATGGTGTTTGATTGCAATTCTAGATTCTAGATTATTTGATTTTTTTCAGCTT